CAGCCTTGGCAGGGACAGGGTTTGTTCTACCCCAGCGTAAGGAGCAACCGCGCGCTGGAGTCGAAGCCGAGACCCCTTTACGCGGGAGGGCGAGGGGAGCCGGTGCGGTTACACAGCGCACCGTCGCCAGAGCGGGCGTCCCCACTGCTGTCAGGGTAAGAGCAGGAGGTCCAGCCCGCCGCGGGCATCCTCCGTGCCAAATCTCAAACCACACAGCTCAAGGGGGGCCCCATGTCGGCTCAGGGAGGGAAGCATCCCACCCCAAAGGGGTGCTCCTGCGGTTTGGGAGTGGGATGTGACACCGCGGAAGGGCGGAGGGCCAAGGAACCCCACGATACCCCCAGCGTGGTGTAAATCCTTCGGCAGAGAGCACGCTCACAGCCCCGGTGCCCACGAGCTGCGGTCCCAGGGGTCGGCCATCACTCTTGGCAAGGAGAGACGGCCACCAGACCCCAGCTCCTGCGAGCTCCTGCCCAGCCCGGGTGGGCTCTCCCTGCTCCAGGGGGTGCTCGGGGAGCCCCCAAACCCCCAGTCACAGCCACGAGGCTGCTGCAGGGGCCCTGGCCAGCTCAGGCTGGGACTGGGGGACAAATTAAGCTGGGCAGGGAAATGGGGCTTCTCCAGGGTCATTTCCCAAGTGCTAAGCCGAGCCACGCCTGAGGTTGATGCTGCTGTAAGGCATCCCGCCTCTGGCCACATCTGGACTGCGCTTTCTGGAAGCGCAGCACCAGCAGTTCCTGTCGGCCGGGCAAGGAGCCGAACCTCAGTTAAGGATGGTGGGGAAAAGGGATGGACAGAAGGAATAGAGTATCCCAGCTCCCCCCAGATCCCCTCCCTCCGAGGACAAGGTATCACAGGAGCAACGGTCCCGTGTCGACGAGTCCTGGATGCTCTCGGCAGCCGGTCTCTGCCACTGTGCCACCCGAATCATTTTGAGTGCAGGCTCTCAATTGTTTTGGTAATGAATTATATGCCAAGGGTTCAAGGAATCTTGGAAATTGAAACACACACATGAGGTTTTTCCACTGATCTTCTCTAATTAGCAACTCTTGAGGGACCAACAGCACACAATTTCAGAATTATGAGAGCCTACAATATATACACGATACACTAAAGTGAAGAAGGGATACCAAAATTGCTAGCCCTCCAGGGTAGAAACTAAAATATGACCTGGTCCAGACATAGAGTTCAAATAACAGATAATAGACAGATTTCTAAGGCAAGTAGGCAGCTGAAAACTTGCCTATCCGCAAGACAACCCCGCTAAGGCCCAGGAATGGTCACCTTGAAGAAAACTGACAAGGCAGCCTTCTCCTATCCCTGCCATTACCCGGCAGCATGGACGCCAGGGCAGAGATCCCCTGGGCCACCAATCTTTCACTATGTTGAGCTATTTAAGAAACATATCCTAGAGGCATAAATTAGAGTAAACCTTAGGCCACCATGAGTTATGATTACTAAATAAACTGCACAAGATGAGTTTGTGGCCCGCAGTCCTGACTCTCCACATGGTACCTCTGCTGCTCCAGCTAGGTATGCCTTAGTGGCAGGAAAGCGCCTTACATCAATTACACTCATTTTAAAGGGGAGATGAGAGACAAAAAAATACTTTAAAAAATGATGCTTATTATGAACTACTATTAATTTGAAAATCTGTATTCAAACTATTGAAATTTACATTAAAAAATAAAGGTAATAAAGCCACATTTCTTCTTAGGAAGCTCAACAAGTGAAGAAATAGCACGTCTCCCAACTTTACAAGACACTGGGAAATTCTGATTTAATTGTAAAAAATGCTGCTATCAAATCTGTTTTCAGTAACTGCTGGAAGTTTGCTTGTGTACAGAGAGATCCTTCAGTAAAGCAAAAATAATTCTTCATTTACTTGCTTCTTTGCACTTCTCCAATTTTCATTTTGCCAGTGCTGGCCCAGCATGGGAATGTTTTGTTTATTCTGGGGTGATGGCACTGTTCCTACATCACAAGTAACTCCCCTTTGGGCTGACAACCCATAGCAGCGACCACAGGCAACAGCAATTGCTTGTTGTATTGCAGGAATTTCTTTCCTTTATAGTCCATGCTTGTGTGCTCTATTTACTCATATTTTCACTCCTGTTTCCTCCCTAAATACAGATATTTTTTGTGTCTAACTTCTCAGTTGTTTCTTTTTGTTCATCACCTTGGTCACCTTGACAACAGGAATGATCATTCCTGCCCAGTGTTTTTAGCTTCCATCACAAGCCTAAATTTCAAATAAGCATCACTGACAGCTCCCCGCGAGCGCTTGGGCGCTGCCGAGCTCCTGCTGCAGGGCGGCGAGGAGCTGCTCCTTCTGGAGGCACTTGTCCTGGCAGACCTTCACCTCCTGCCGCAGCTCGTCCTCCCGCTCGCTCTGGCAGTGACGGTCCCTCTTCAGGGCCTCGATGGCCAAGCGCTGCTTCTCCATCTCCTCCTGGCACCGCTGCACCTCCACCTTCATGAGAGAGCACCTCTCGGCCGCCCGCGAGGCGGCGGTGGCCATCTCCGTCTGCAGCACCCGCAGCCTCTCCTCCAGCTTCTTGGTCTTCTCCGACTCGGCCACAATCAGGGGCTTCAGCTCCTTTCTCTCCCCCTCCTTCTCCGTCACCTGCCGATGGAGGATGGAGACCTCGTGCTCCAGGCTGCCGATCAGGCTGTTCTTCCTCTCCATCTCCTGGACGCACTGGGACACTTGCTCCTTCCAGCTCTCTTCTGACCGGCCCTTCTCCTGCACTACGGAGCGGAGGGAGGCCAGGTCCTTCTCGGCAGCGGCCATGGCGGTTTTGCTCTGAGTCAGCTCCCTGCCCTTCTCCTGCAGCTCCTTCCGCAGGGCCTCCACGGTGCCGTCGTGCAGAGCCTGCACCGACCTCGAGGCCTCCAGCAGCTTCTGCAGCTCCAACACCTTCTCCTTCTGCTGGGCCACTTCCCTCCTCGAGGCCTCCAGCTCCGCTTGCTCCGCCATCGCCCCCTCCGCCGCCGCTCGCTCGAGGACGGCCATAGCCTCCTGCTGCTCCCTGCACTTCTGCTCCAGCTCCTCCACTTGCAAACGAAGCGCCTGGGTCTCCTTCAGCTTCTCCTGGTAAAGGTCTTGGCTTGAGCCAGATTCCTGCTCCCTGTGACGGGTCTTCTCCTCCAAGCTCTTGAGGGACATCTCCTTTGAGCAGGTGGCCTTGACGCTGTGCCCCTCCGCGTCCCTGCTCCGGGCGGCCTCCGAGAAGCCCTGCAGCTCGTTGTCCACCTTGGGCACCCGTTCCTTGGCCGCCTCTGCTGAGGCGAGCTCTCCTTTCAGCTTGCTGACTGTCTTCTGCAGGTCCCTCAGCTCTTCACCCTGCGAGATGTTCTTCTGGCGGAGCTCCTCCAGCTTCCCCTCCTTCTCCTCCACCATCTCCCGGGACCGGGCCAGCTCCTCCCGGTGCACCGACCGCTCCACCCTCTGCTCATTGAGGGAGTTTTGCAGCTGCGCCTCCAGCTCTGCTTTGCGGGCTCGCTCGGCGGCGCAGTCCCCTTTGGCCCGTTCCACCTCCTGTCGCAAGCGTTTGGCTTCCTCCTCCTGGCACGCCAGGTCCCGCTGGTGCTGGCGCAGCGTCTCCTCCAGCCTGCTGCTCAGCAGGGTCACCTCCCCAGACAGCTTCTTCACCTCCACCTCCACCTCCATCTCCCGCTGCCTGCTGGTGGCGGCCGCCCGGGACAGCTCGGCC